AAAAATATTAATCAATTATTTAAATAGTTTCGTAATAATTTTTTTGGTTAAAAATAAAAAATTTTAAATTTAAATTACATGATACATAAGTAAAATAAAATAAAAAATACGAGAGATTAACTTCAGTTATACAATCAATATAAAAAATATATATATTAAAAATGTTAAATATCATTTTTTATTCTTTAAACCTATAGACCGGCAAAGGTCATAAAAATACCAAATAAACTCTTGATTTATTTTCCATTGGACCGAAGTATGTGGTATTCTAGGAGCAAACTCATTAGAGAAAATGAATAGTAAGGAATTTTTTAAAACTACATTTTAAGTATGTAATTAATATGTTTTTTAATTTTTAATTTATATAAAAAATATAAAAGATGATATCAATATTAATATTATTGTCATTGATATAATTTTAATTGAACGGTTAATAAATTAAAAATTAATTTTTATTTTTTTAATATATATTAATTATTAAAAAGCTTTAGCTATACTTATAATCTATAATCTAAAAGTATATGTTAAAAAAAAAAAAAAACTCAATGAGTAAAATAACTTCTCGTTTTATAATCCAATCATATTTACCACCAACAGCCTTATTAAAAGTTTGGAAAAATTACTAATGATTTATTAGTTCAAATGGAAGAAATTTAATTTCTCTTAAATAAAATTTCGAATTTGAATCTTATAATTAAGAAAACTTCTCATTTATGGGATTCGATATGATTTGATTTCAAATTAATCAAAACTCAATATAATTTTTTAATATTGAGAGGTTAATAACAAAAAAAAATTGAAAAAATTGATGGAATTCTATTATAAAATGAGGAAATGGAAGAATCAAGTAGTCGTAATATTAAAAATGTTAAAATATTTAATAATAATCATGTAATATATTTAATAAAATTAAAACTTAAATTATATCCCACACATTTAATAGTTATAAGTATATGAAAATATTAAAACATCTTAATTTTTCCTTTTCCCTATAAAATATCACCTCCAGTTTTGGTGAAAGGAGCATTTAAATGCCACCGAAATTAGCTGTTGTCCCACAACAAAGCAAGCAAACTCTATGATATCCAACTAAAAAGGGGCAGAATATATGGAATTGGAACAAAAAGGATAGGCTGTTGCGAAGATGAGAAAATTTAAGTGAGAGAGGCCATTAAAAAAAAAAGGGTAAGTGACTGGAAGCGCTAGTTAATGCTCCACATCAATTGGAATGCAACGGTTAACTACTTTGGGCGGATCATTCAAGAAACTACTCTAATTTGTATAGGTATCCATGTGATCAGATTTTGTTTGTCGACCCCAAAAACATTGCTGTCAAAATCATTTCACATGCAACAACAGTAACACCATTTTTCATGCGTTTCTGTGATGTTTTCCGTCACAGAGCATACAGTTAGGAAGAGCATTAAATGGAACACTATCTAATGCAACTGTAGGGTAACATTTCAAGGCTCATCAACAACCAAATATCTACCCCAAAAAGCCATCAAGAAACACTATATCTTACAATAATCATTCCCCACAATAAGAGATGGCAAAAATCATACCCAACCCATTAACCCAATTCTAATCCAATCTATAAAAAGTGGGTTAAGATTAAGTAGAATTAGACCTGTGACCTGTCTGAATCAACCCAAATGGATCACAGGTTAAATATAGATCAACTTACGAGTTCACAGGTTGACCCATTTGGGTTAATCTGTTTGATCCATTTGTTTTTAAAATTTTAAAAAATATATTTTTTTAAGATAATTTTTTAAAATAAAATAATTAACGAATATAATTTAAAAAAATCTAATATTATAGTAATAATTACAATTTATAAAATTCTTTAAATAAAGTTGATTATATTCATTTAAAATTTATAAATCAAGTACTGTATACTATATATGATTATCAAAAAAGAAAACAAAAAAATTAAATAGATTATTCAAAATATTCCAAAAAAAAAGTCATTTTGCTTAGAAAGAAACAAAATTATTAAAAAATAATCATATCAAAGTTATTATAATTTAATTTTAATAAATTATTATTAAAAATATGATTAATTATATAATAAAATAAAAGAAATTCAACTTGCGGCGTCAACTCGTGACCCAGAGTCGGATAGGATCAATACTTGTTAACTCACAATTAGTATATAACCCAACCCAAACCACCTGTTTGCCACCATGACCCACAATCATTTACACTAAGAAGTTAGCAGGAGTCGATATGCGTGGCGAGTTAGACAATTAGCACTACAATGCTAAATAAATTGCAAATTGATGTTGGAAACATGCCAAGGAGATGAAGGCACTCTTGAATCAGTAGTACAATAACTTGAAATAATATAAAAAGGTTCAGTTCAAAATCAAGATAAGCATTCAGGTCAAAATAATAATCAAACACCTCATTCAAACTCCTGAAACTTTCCAAAGCCTAGAATAAGGTACCACAAGGATAAATCAACAAAAAGGACTGGTCCTCACTCATCTTCTTGGCTGCGCAACCTAGCCAATTTATTGGTCACAACAATATCCAACTGTGCAGCACGCTCAACAATCTCCTTCCTCTTCCGGGTTGAAACGTCATGAGCTATCTCAGCACAATAAGTCCTGAATTGCATAAATTATAAGCAAAATGTAGGAAAAAGCAAATCAAAATTTTGCTTAGAAGACAGGTCAAATAAATTTACCTGTTATGCATCATCAGAATCTCCAACTCTTTGGCATTATGCACAACAAATTTCTTGAACCCATTAGGAAGATAGTGGCGAGTCTTCTTATCTGAGCCATATCCAATATTAGGCATGAGAGTGCATCCCTTAAACTTTCTCCGGACACGTGAGTCAATACCCTTAGGCCTCCGCCAGTTTGGCTGCCATCAGTAAAACAAACTGTCATGCTATGCTTGTTGAACCCAGGAATGCAAATTGCATAAGCTCAACAGCCTTAAAATATGAATCCCTCCAAGCAAGGGGATAGTCAACCAATCTAGCTTATATTCAAGAGCACATACATCACTAAATGAATCCCCCGTGTGAAAGTATCTCGCCTCTACAAATAAAAATCCATTACAGAAAAGAGCAAAGGGTGGAATATCTCAGTCATCTCCAGTCCTCAATCTCAGTTCAGCAAAGAAAGAGAGGATGGTATTCTCAACTAGCAAAACATCTAACTAGGAACACAGTGACAAAACTCAAAAGGTATCACCACTACTGCCTCGTTAAGAAGCCCTATATTGTTACAGGAACTTGGGCTAATATTACTCCAAACTAACACTTTCACCACTTGCCCCAACAAGACATCACTCTCAATAAAGTATTTCTTAGTTGCTAAATCTGTCTTGCAAAACATCTCAAGTCCTTTAAACTCATTACCTTTTAGTTTACATGCTTCTAGAAACATCTCAAAAAACTTCAGTTATCGGTAAAAGCAAAAAAAATTCAGTTAACCAAAAAACTTTTAATTGATGTTCATTTAAAACTTGTATCAAACTGAATTAACTGAATATTTTTGGTTAATCAATGTAAAATTCAGTTTGGATTCAAAATGAAAATGCTTAAACAAAACCATTTGGTGCTGTTTAACCAAACTGAATTGAATGCCCATAATCAAATTTAAAGCATAAAACAGCATCCATGAACAATAACTCAAACTAACAGCCAGTTGACACTTCAGAATTTGCATAACAAAACTAATTTTAAAGTTGTATGCTGTAAGGCTGCCAAAAACACCTAAATTTGCCGCAAGTTCAAGTCTTCAGGCAAAAACTACGCTATCCATAGAACAAATACCGTGATATTTGACGAAACTAATCCAGATTCGTGCAATAAATTTTACTTAAATATCATATATAGACATACCTTCACAGAAATTTTCCGATCACTTTGAGGCCTCTTGAACTTCTTGACACGCTTCTTCACTACCTTCTTGCTCAGCAAAGGAACAGCCATTGTCTCTATACACAAATTGAAAAAAAAAAATGGAAGATTTTATGTCCAAACACAGTTTTTCCAGGAAAATTAAAGATCTAAAAATGGAGAGAACTTGGAGCCATGAATATGGAAAAGATCAACAGCAAAACAAGGATAAAACGCAACATAAAGAAGCAGAGAAATGAACATGAATTGAATCAAATTAATCTTGCTGAAAAATTAGAGAGTCACCTGGTCGAAATGCTGTGAGACGGCACCCTAAACCCTAGCAGAGTGAAGAAGATAAAAGGCGAGCTAGGGTTTTAAATGAGCGCAAATACTTGGGGAGAAATTTGTCTGGTGTTTCTGGTACTGGGCAGGCCCAATGGATACAAAAGACGAACGCCTTCTAGTTCCGAAATTTGAAAATGGGCCGACCTGGGTTTACTGACTTCCCTGTTTAGCTGAGCTTAGACTTTGTATGGGAACGATTTTGATACTTAAGGGTTGTTTTGTTTTGTTTTTTTTTGTTTTATTGTTTTTTTAATCTTAAAAATATTTCGAACATTAATTAAAATAAATATTAAATATACCAAAAATTATGTGAAATAAATTCACCAAAAATGTATTTTACATATTTTTGCGATATAAAAAACCTAAAATACCTATACATAGAGTTATAGTACAACACCCTCAAATAAACTCTTAAAGGCAATTTGTTATTAACAATGATATACTTATAATAGTAGATAGAATTATAGCTTTACAATCATGATTTGTTATTAAATAATTAAATGTATAAATAATATAAGTGAATCTTTAAAAAAGAGCAATTATATAATGATATGATATGATTTTAAATTTAAAATATCATTTAATATTATAAATATCACTTTTTTTTTACTTGTTATCGGTGAAATTTTGGGAACTTCTCTCGAACGGAAATTTTGAATTTTACAGTTAAAGTAACACGTAAGACTACCTTAGCATGAAATTCTCTGAGAAACAGTCACCTCCTAGTTTTGGTGAGAGACAGAGGAGTATATAAATGCCGCCCTAATTAACTGTTACCCCCACAATAAAGCAAGCAAGAAACTCTATGGTCCTGTTTATTTAGAGTATAATTTTACTAGAAATGAAATGAGAATAAAAATGTTTTGTATGAAAAATATTTTATCAAGTTATTAATTTTTTTGTATTTAATAAAAAATTGATATAACAAAAGTTTATATAAAAGTTATCAAGTAGATTCTATATAAGAAGAGAGTTGAGAAAACCTATTTCCTTTTAAAAAATGTGCTTGAGAATTGTATGAAGAAAAATAAAAGAAAAAAGTGTACAAATACGCAAGGGGACAGTTTGCGTGGGGGGGGTAACTTCCCTCCCTAACCAAACACAGCCTATGATATCCAACCCAAAAGGCAGAAAATATGGAAATTGTACAGAAAATTTGGATGAATTTGCAAATTGATATTACAAACACGCTAAGGAGATGAAAGCAGTCTTGAAACATTACTACAATAACTTGAAATTAAAAAAAAGAAAAAAAGAAAAAAGAAAAAAAAAAAAAGAGGTTTGGATTCAAAATCAAGATAAGCAACATTGCATTGAGGTCAAAATAACGCTCAAACACCTCATTCAAACTGCTGAAACTTCCTAAAGCCTAGAGTAAGGTACCACAAGAAAAATCAACATAAACGGACTGATCCTCACTCATCTTCTTGGCTGCGCAACCTAGCCAATTTGTTGGTCACAACAATATCCAACTGTGCAGCACGCTCAACAATCTGCTTCCTCTTCCGAGTTGAAACATCATGAGCTATCTCAGCACAATAAGTCCTGAAGTGCATAAGTTATAAGCAATACGTGGGTAAAAGCAAACCAAATTTTTACTGACAAGACAGGTCAAATATATTTACCTGTTATGCATCATCAGAAGCTCCAGCTCTTTGGCATTATGCACAACAAATTTCTTGAATCCATTAGGAAGATAGTGGCGAGTCTTCTTGTCTGAGCCATAACCAATATTAGGCATGAGAGTGCATCCCTTAAACTTTCTCCGGACACGTGAGTCAATACCCTTAGGCCTTCGCCAGCTTGGCTGCCATCAGAAAACAAACTGTCATGCTATGCTTGTTGAAGCCATGAATGCATGTTGCATAGGTTAAGCTGTCTTAAAATATGAATCCTTCCAGCAAGGGGACGGTTCAACAAATCTAGCTACAAGAGCACATACATCACTAAATGAAGTCCTCCTATAAAAGTATCTAGCCACCACAGATAAAAAATCCATTACAGAAAAGAGCAAAGGGTGGAATATCTTGGTCATCTACAGTCCTCAACATCAGTTCAGCTAAGAGAGGATGGTATTTCAACTAGCAAAACACCTAACAAGGAACACAGTGACAACTCTTGAAAGGTATCACCACTACCGCCTCATTAACAAGCCAACATGCACTAAGTGGAAGAATCACTCGGCCTGATTTGATTCCAAACTAAAACTTTCACCACTTGCCCCAACCAGACATCAGGCTCAATAAAGTAATTCTTAGATGCTAAAATTGTCTCATAAAGCATCTCCAGTCCTTTAAATTCATTACCTTTTAGTTTACATGCTTTAAGAAACATCTCAAATGTCCCATAACAAGGAAACAGTACACAGATGGACAAAGGTAATGAATACACTATTATAGGGGATCTGCATACTAAACTCAAATCTCTATGTTTCTGAGCATTTAACAAAGCAGTTTCCTAGTCTAAGGACATAATTTAGGAGACATACTTGCTGTAGGCAACTAAAAACAAAATTTGTGGTTCGGTTTAACCAAACAGTACTGAAAGCCCACCAGATAAAATCCTCTAATATAATCAAATTTCATGCAGGAACATTAACTCAAACAAACCGTGAGTTGACAATTCAAAGTCTGAATAACAAAACTAATTTAATGTTGCATGCTGTAAAGGCTGCCAAAATCACCTAAATTTGCAGCAACTTCATGTCTTCTCCAGGCAAAAAACTCATCCATAGAACAAAATACCGGAATTTGTAGCCAAACTTCACTATCCAATTTCGTGCAACACATTTTACTTAAATATCATAAATAGAGGTAGTACTTGAAAGAACAGGCGGCAGGCATACCTTAACGGCAATCTTCCTATCACTTTGAGGCCTCTTGAACTTCTTGACACGCTTCTTCACTATCTTCTTGCTCAGCAAAGGAACAGCCATTTTCTCTACACACAAAAATGGAAAGAAAATTACATAATTGAGCTAAAATCTGGAAAAATGGAAAATTCTGTCTCCAAACAAACTTTTTTTTTCCAGGAAAGTTATATCTCCAGATCTAAAAACAGATAGAAACCTCGGAGCCATTAAACACGGAAAAGATCAGCAGAAAAACGAAGATAAACAGAACATAATCAAGAAGAGAAACGAAATATGAATCGAATCTTACTGAAAAATTAGAGAGTCACCTGAACGAAATGCTGAGCAACGCCTCCCGTAAACGCTGCAAGAGTAAGGAACTAAGGAAGACAATAAAAAGGCGAGTTAGGGTTTTAAATGGTCCGATATTTTTCTGGTGACGGGCAGGCCCAATGGATGGATAATATATTAATTTGAAAGCCTTCTAGTCAAGATGGGCCGACCAGGTTTACTGGTTCACTAGTCCTAGTCTTAGGGCATGTTTTAGTCTAGCTTTATTCGCATAGTTTTTTTTTTTGCTGACATCAGCTGATCAGTTTATTATTTTATTAATAAAGGTCTTTTTTTTTTTTTCCAACTTTCCCCGGCCTTGCTTATAAGCAAAGTTACTTAAAGTAGTTTAAATTATAAAATAAAAATTATTAGATAAAGAAGTGATTTTAAATATAAAAAATTATCATTATTTAATAGTTTATAATGTGCAGTTGAATGCAATCTAGATTTTACAACACCTTTTTGTTTCTCCATTATTGGAGAAAAAAACTCATTGGTACAATAATTTATGTTTATCTTTCTTTTTTACTTTTATCATTTTTATTTTAGGATAATGTTGAAATACTAGCATTTAATATCTTTTTAAGATAAAAAAATACGATAGCTAAATTTGACTACTTTTATTTAGCAAGTGAGATAACTAAAAAGGATTGGCCAGAGTAAATTTTTTAATCTGCAATTAAATTTGATAACTTATGGGAGGAAAACTTGAATAAAATTCTAGAGTGGCTCATAAAGTAGATGAATAGACACTTTATAAAATATGATAATAAATAATTTTTATTCAACTAATTTTTACCCTTTTTTTTTCCATATTTTATATTATCTTTATCTTCTCCATCCTTTACTTTATCATTAAAAAATAATCTTTAACAACATAAATGCTAGAAAATATTTAAAATGGTATGAAATAAGTAAATATAAAAATGGTAAAAATAAAACATAAGAGACCAAAATAAAATTTTTACAAAAGTTTAGGGAGGCTATGCCCCCTCATCAGACCCCCTGGGTCCTCCAGTGAATATGTATATAAATGTGGAAATTCTTATTCCAAAATTTCATAATGAGGGTTCAGCATTTCTTTCCTTCGCTTCCTTGTTTCCTTTCAAATTTACCTTTATCAATTCTTCCTTTCACATTTACTTTATCAATTTCCCAATGCTAATGTTTGGTTATTCCTTTTACCATTTTTTTTTTTTTTTGGCCAAATGCCACTTACCTGTGAACTCTAAAGTTAAGATTGCTTCTAGATTTTTAGTGGAACAATACAGTAAAGAGACCTATAATCAATTTTAAAGCAATCCAGAACCAACTTTTGCAAAAGCAAAGGGTTGTATCTATTGGACGAGTAAGAATTCTTTTAAAAGTCAAATCCAATATTATCCAATAAAACACGAGAAATGCGTTTTTAAAATTATTTAAAAAGAACTTAATTCCTAAAATATTCATGAACTATTTAAAAGACATTTGAAGAAAAAAAGTCCAGCTTTTCCCTTCTTTTTTTTTTTTTTTTTTGTTTATAGTTAGTGTGTCTTTAAATCAATTTTTATATATTTAGAGACTAATTCTTTTTAAAAAAATCTTAAGAGTATATCATCATATCAATATGATACATTTTAAGTAAATTAATTTTCTTTAAGTAATAGCTTCAAAACTTGAACAAGTTCATACTTATTTATCAAGAAATCCAACTCTTAGGGTTGTTACTGTTATTTAATATCAACTATTAGTGTTCACATTCAACTAATTTGATTGTGGGAGCCCTTTATTTATTTTTGGTTAAACCTCCAATTTGGTCTTTGAACTATCATATGGACCCTTGATTTGGTCCCTAAACTAAAAAAGGTCCATGATTTAGTACCTAAACTATTGTATGGACCCCCAATTGGATCCCTACTGTTTATCAATTTGCTTCAAGTTAGTCTTTCTGTACAAAAAAAATTGACGTGTTCATTATTTAATGGCAAAAAATAGTAATTTAACAGTTACGTGTCACATTAATAATAAGACACGTCAGTTGGTTTTTGTACGAAAAGACTAACTTGAGGTAAATTAATAAACTGTGGGACCAAATCATGAGTCTGTACAATAGTTTAAGAATCAAAGTAGGGATTTTTTTAGTTTAGGGACTAACTTGAGGGTCTATATAATAGTTTAGGGACCAAATTAGGAATTTAACCTTTATTTTCCAAATTTTCAGTCAAGGTGTTCGAAGAAGGAATTAATGCATGAATCCTTCCGGCTCAACAAGCGCCATATACAATTAGTGAGGTGAAGTCCACTAATAAATAGATATTTTTTTATAAGTTAGATTTAGATTTTAAGTTTTAATATTAGTATTTAAAAAAATTAATTTTTTTTAATGCATCACTTTAAAAAAAAAAAAAAAAAGGCACTATGCTAATGGAAAGATAAACTTTATAAAAGAATTAATTTTGAAGTATATAAAATTAACTTAGGACACCTTAGTAATAAATTTCAAAAGAAGAAGAAGAAGGAGAAGGAGAAGGATAGAAGCATGATATACAACCACAAAATTACCGGGGCAAAATCCTAAGATGGCATGCAATTCATCTGTTGAATTTCGGAAGTCGCCGAGCATCTTGTCCCGTCAAAAAGCATTAACAGCCGCCTTGATCTTTTACGCACGACTGTACTAAAGCCAAATGTGCAGGAGCATTATTGTCCCAAAGCCTCATCATTCGGTGCACTTTCCCTAACTAATATCTTCTCATTTCCTTCTGTTTTCGACCAAATTCCGAACTAATATAAAGGTCAAATCCAAACCCCATTCCTCCCACCTGCTTCTTTCTATCTTTCTATCAAGTTTTGAGTTTTCTTCTTCATAAAATAGCCTAAAAAATTTGCAGATTCTCCTTCGAATTAGTCACCAGAAATTCAGGGTAAGTTCAATACTGCCTTCTTGTTTGGATTTTACGTTTCTTTGTTCATTGATTGAAGACTAGGTAATTCCCTTTCCCAGAACCTTTTCAGATGTTTAAACTTGAAAACTTAGTGAGTAAGAATGAGATTATCACCGAAGTTTTTAGTCATTTGCACCTTATATTCTTCATTTAGGAATCATATCTTTGTATTATATTTAATCATTCCATATAGGAAATTATAAAGACATTCATTTTTCATTGGGTGTTCGATAAAGGGGTTTGGTTGTGGACGAGATAGAAGATTATCCTAATATGATAGTGCGCGACTTGTCTGACGATTCTCAGTTTGATGAGATGGTTTACTGGGACATATATAAATATATATTTTTTGGTACAATTTAATGAGATGATATACATATATAAGAAGGAAAAGTGTTTAAAATGATAATTTTATTATTTCCAAAATTCCTTCACATCTGTCATGGAGTTTAGATTTGAACTAAGGATAACAATTATACTTAATCTTCTTAGATTGCGGGAAAGAAACTGGAACAATTTTTTCTTAAAAAAGTTTTGTTGAGAATATTTTTCACTCCTCAGATTCACGCATTCTCTTTATTCTCCTCAAACTAAGTTAAGTACTAAAAGTCCAACTTGCTAAAACACTCAAACCAATAATCATAAAATGAAAGAAAAAAAAATTAATAGAATAAAGGTAATTACAGGAAAGAAAAGAAAATTAATATTTGATTTTGATGGGGACCATGTTATTCGTGGGACAAGAACAGGGAATTGAAGAACTTGCTCCTGCTAAAAATCCTATCAGATATCCCTGTTCCTGCAATTAATTTCCTTCTGGTTTAGTTCGAATCGCACAAAATACTTTTTCATGTATAAAAAACTGTCAAGTTGAAATTCCTAATCTTAACCTCCCATTTCCATATGTAATCTTACTACTTTCTAATTGTGTTTGGTATTAATCAGTCTCTTACTAATTTTCAAATTTAGGTTAGTTAGATGATTATGGAAAACGAGGACTATGAGGATTGGCGAGGGAGGAAAGCAGATACTTCAAAACATGGGGGAGTAATAGCTGCAGGTTTTACATGTGGTAAGTGGTTTATATTTTTAAGCGATTGCTGTTGTTCAGCTCAGACTGGCTAAAAAAAATGAAGTTACTCTAAGCTGGAATTCACAACGTACATTTTCATTAACGATAATCCATCCCTCATTTTTCAGTCCGTGATAACATTTTTAAAAAAAACTAATTTGGACTGAAAATAACATCTTTATTTTTGTAAAGCCAAGATATAAGATTGATATTTTTTTTTTAAAAAAAAAGAAGAGTTTGGAACCCATGCTGCGATTACATCATATGAATTAATCAAGCCGTTAATTATATATAGTTTTATTAAGAGAAAGGAAGGATTCAAGAAATCTTTTGTTATGAGCAGTTGTGGAGGTATTAGAGAATGTGGTATTCCTATCCAATGCAATAAACTTTGTGGCATACTTCATGAAGTCCATGCATTACCCAGCCGCTGAAGCTGCAAACATGGTCACCAATTTCATGGGCACCTCTTTCCTCCTAACCATCTTTGGCGGCTTTATCAGTGACTCTTACCTCACTCGATTCAAGACATTCATCTTCTTTTGTATACTAGAGTTGTTGGTATGATTAAACTCGATCGAATTCCATTAATTCCATGCAAAATTTTAAGCAGTTAAGATCTGAAGAGGCTTCAGACTTAACTTGACCAGATTCAACAAATGCAGGGACTAATTCTGTTGGCAGTTCAAGCTCAATATTCAAAGTTACAGCCGAAATTCAACGAACGTCCTTCTAAATCTCAAGCAGTGTTTCTTTACTTCGGCCTTTATGCAATGGCAGCTGGAGTTGGTGGCATCAAGGCTGCCTTGCCAGCACACGGCGGTGATCAGCTCGACCACGGCAACCAGCGACACATTTCCGCATACTTCAACTGGTACTTCTTCTCTCTTTGCACAGGCGGCCTCATATCCTCCACAGTCATGGTCTGGATCCAAGACAACGAAGGGTGGAAATTGAATTTTAACATTTCAATCGGCACTCTAAGCTTAGCACTCTGCATATTCACGGCTGGATTTCCGATATACAGATTAAAACGTCCTGGAGGAAGTCCAATCACAAGAATTTATAAGGTAAAATAGAAAATTCGAAACCACAACTCAATCAAGCAGAAGTTATGATTTTCAAGAATCTTTAGATTTAATTTTGCTCTTGAATTTGGAAATTTCAGGTTTTTGCTTCTGCAATTCGAAACAGGAAATTCTCGCCCCCACCGAAGACAGATATTCTTGGGGAAAGTTCAAGTGCAAGAACAACCCGAGGGAAACTCAGGTAACGAGGATTGAAGAACAAATTAAAAAGATAATCCAGTGAAAAATTATTGTATAGTTTAAGTTACATAATAAAAATCTCTTAAATGAGGGCAGGCCAACAAGGGTATTTGTTGTTAGATTACCATAGTAATATTATGTTTGATTTAATAAAATTGGAGGAAAGGAGAGGGAAATGGAAGGATACACAATCCTTCTGTTTCCTTCCATTTTGCTCCCCTCCATTTTTTTCACTTGGATAAATGAAGGGGTCTAAGCATAAAATATAATAAATAACTACAATTTCCTCCTCTCCTTTCTAAATTTTTTATTAATTAAATAGAATAATTTTCACTTTACAGACAAAATCTTCATTCTAACGAAATTTTTGCAGGTTCTTAAACAAAGCATTAATGGATGAGAAAATTACTACTGCTGAAGTTGAAGAAACAAGAACATTCTTGTGGCTTCTCCCAATTTTCGCTAGCACGATCCTGATGAATTGTTGTCTGGCTCAATTACAGACGTTCACAGTAGAGCAAGGGAACATGATGAACAGAAAAGTGAAGAATTTCATGATCCCTACGCAATCCCTGACAATGTTTCCCTTAATAATCATGCTCGCTTCAATACCTTTATACGAGCATTTTGCGCGCATTATTGGAGCCAAGCAGAGGACTAGTGGGATAAGCAATTGGTTACGGCCGCTGAAGAGGATCGGAATCGGTCTGGCGCTGGCATCGGTGTCCATGGCGGCAGCTGCCGTAGTTGAGGTTAAAAGGCGGAAGGAGGCGGTGAACAATGGGGCTGAAATATCCGTGTTTTGGCTGGCGTGGCAATACTTGCTGCTCGGCGTTGCAGATATGCTAACTCTTGGAGGCATGCTCGAGTTTTTCTACTCAGAAGCACCCGATAGCATGAGGAGCATGAGCACGGCACTGTCGTGGTGCTCGACAGCAATGGGGTACTTCATTAGCTCAGTGCTGGTGACAATCGCCAACTCCATCAGTGGAGCATTTGGGAGAAAGTGGTTGGCAGGACATGGCTTGAATCACGGCCGTTTGGATTTGTTTTATGCTCTTCTTTGCGTTCTTAACTTCCTTAATCTCTTGAATTACATCTTCTGGGCTAAGCGGTATTAGGTTTCTTGTTTATAATGTTCTCTTAGGTTTAATTGTCATAGAACAGTTGATATGCTGTAGATGTCGGCTGTTAGGAATCAACTTCATCTAATCAACTACTTTTGTGTCGTTGAGT